TCTCTTTGAGAATGCGTAAGTCCAAAATCGGCCTCACTCCCCCCGTCTTTTTGGGCACTAGGAAATAAGGCGAATATAGCCCTTTGTTCCTTTGCTCCCGGGGAACTACTGTCACCGCCTCCTTCGCCAAAAGTTCCGTAATCTCTGACATCAGAGCGGCCACTTTGTCTGGCGTTTTCATCACCGTCTCCACCACTCTCCTGAACGGGGGTGGGGTCCGGTGTAATTGTAGAGCATAACCCTTCTGCAACGTCTGTTCTAGCCAGCGTGAGAGGGTGCAGCTTCTTCGCCACTGCCAGCAATGCAGAGAAAGTGGCTGAGCACGAAGCTGTGGTGCATCCAGTAGGAAGGACCTGTATTCCTGTATGGCCCTTACCGCCACTGTTCCCCAACATTGAAGTGGTGGAACAGCCCAAGGTGGGCCTCCCGTGAAAGGGAGAGGAACCATCAATGCGTTCTGAGAAAGAAAGAGGAGCAGGGACGTCGGTTAAACCCGTAACCGTCGTATTCCTGCCCTCCTTGAACGCATCGCGGGTCTGAATTGCGCTGACCGAGGTCACAGCCTGCGGCAGGGCACCATCCCCAGCAAGCGATTGCGTCATCTTAGGTGACTGCAATTCGCTATCAGAGCCCTTCACTACAGTACTCCTAGAAGTCTGTAGTATGAGGTCTCTATGAGGTAAAACAAGGCGGCGCCTTGATACCTTCTTAACTTTCACCTTCTGTGTGTGTTCAACTCTGCACCCCTGGTGGGTTGATTCACGCTGAGTGTGGTGAGTACTGGCTCGTTCTGTCAGGGGAGCTGATACTTTGGTTATACCCATAACCCTAGTAATCCTGCCCTCCGTGAACGTAGCATGGGTCTGAATCGCATTAACCGAGACCTTGGTCTGCGATAATGCGCCGTCCCCAGATAGCTGCTGTGTTACAATGCCTGGGGGCGCCGATACTCTGGACACCTTCGTGACCGCGGTAATCGGGCCCTCCGTGAACGCAGCATGGGTCTGGCTCGTACTAGCGGAGACCTTAGTCTGTGCTAGTGCGCCATCCCCAAATAGCGGCTGCGTCCTCATGTCAGAATCTGACCGGGACTGCTGCCTTCTATGTAAAGCACTTCTTATACGTGAAGTGTGATGTGACGACCTGATTGAGGTCTTACGGATACCTACTCTAAGTGCCTGTTCAGCAACGCACCCTCGGTGGGCTGAACGGCTCTTAGAATGGTAAGGAAGAGAGGGTGAGATTTGAACGCTCTCGGACGTATTATGGAAAAGAGGCTCTTTTTTGACAAAGTCAGGTGGAGCCAACTCTTTATTAAATACATCAACAAAGGCATTTACATCAACACCCATCCCTTCAACCGAAGGGTGGGGGGGAACAGTGGGCACGTTCGACACCATCGATGCGTCCTCCATCCTCTCCCTCGCGTCCCGTCACGTACGCCTCCTCTTGCCTCCCTTGGAGGGCCAGGTCGGCGTCCTCGTCACCTCCCTCGCCGGCTGTAGTGGGGCTACCGTAGCTGCTGGTAGGGCAGGGCCCGTTCCCTTGCTGCTCGTGGCCGCCGGATGAGGCCGATTACGCCGCCTCGCCGTAGACCCCGGTCTACTTAGAGGGGCGGAGGTAGATGGCCTTTGGGATGGAGGGGGGCCGAGTCGTCCTGCCAACGGCAGGTGCTTGGCCAGCTGCTTCTTCTCCTCCTCTATCTTGGAGAAACGCTCGGTCGCCTCTTTGACTGCGACCCCAAAGAGGCCGTCGTCAGAGAGGGGGGCGTTCAAGAGAGACGTCCTGTCTGCCTCTTTCATGGATGTCAAGGACAACCAGAGGTGTCGTTCCCCGACCACCGAAGTGGCCATGGACCTCCCCGCGCAGACTGCGGACGCCTGTGTCAGGTGGAGTATGGCGCCAGAAATTCTGGATGCCTCCTCCACCTCCTCCGGTGCCAGCTCTGTCTTGCCCGTGGTTAAACGGGACAGAGAGTCCGCCAAGAGGGCAATGTTGTTAGCTGCTGCTACAGCTTGGGCTCCCAACCCAAAAGACTTCTCTAACAGCGACGCTGTGAGTCGGTCCTTCTGGGATGGCAACGTGGCCTTCTTGGAAGAGGGCCAAGGGCTCGAACCCGGTACGAGATACGCCGCCATGGCGCTCTCTAACCTGGGGATTCCCTGACCCTGAAACCTTCCTTCCACTCTCGTGAATGGGAGATACGCTTTTACAGGCGAACGCGTCGCTAAAGGTGCCTCCCACGAGCCCTCAACGTACCTAGCCAAAGAAGGCATGGCAGGAGCCACTGGCTCTGCCGCCTTCCTTGGCCTGGAATGAGGACCGCCCTCCATCATATCAACCTCCGGTGCGGAGGGAAGAGGGGGCAGCCTTATTACCAGCCGTTGAGCAGCTCTCTCAATGAGACCCGGAAAATCCGATCTCAGAGAGGCTGCAGCGAAAGAGAGAGCTTCTGATCTCTCAGAGCTCGTATCCCCTTCGCTATAGGGACTACAAGCCCTCTCGCTCTCCAAAGGAAAGGGGGGCTTGAAAGTATGAGGGATGGGGTCCGACTGTTCCATTGGAATGCCAGACCCCTCCTCAAAGTCCCTATCTTCCCCCGAGTCTGCGCCGTCGGACGACGCCTCTGAAGCAGAGGCTAGTATCGACAGCACATCCTCAAGGGGGATGTCCTCCCTGAAAAACGCCCAACGCTGCTTCCTCTCCTTTAAAGAAAGGAGGGCGCAGGAGGCGCAATTCGGGGGACTGCAGACGCCTTCCTTGGCATGCTGGGATCCCAAACACATGAAACATAGGTCGTGGTGGTCACCGGCCGCCATGGAAGTGCATCTGCACTGAGCTCTGAAAAGAGCTTTTGGGGGTGGAAAATCTCCCGGTGTGCTCATTTAGACGACGTTGATGACTGGAATATCAACGGCGTTTTCGTCCTGAGTCTTGTGCTTCGTCTCTTCTTGGCTCTTCAGTCTAGTCATCCAATCGCTGAAGAAAAAGGGAGGCTGATTGAGGGGAGGCATCCCCTCTTATAGGGACACCTGTACTCCTATTGGCTGTAGGTGTGTAAATAATTTTGTCTCAGGCTGTTGCTGCCTTAGGGCAGAGGGTAAACCACTAGGAGCAGAGCTCCCCTATGGGGCGGAGCTCCACGATATAGAACGACTCGTCTCTCGTTGAATGACAACAAATACTTTATTGAGGTATCCCTACTGTTGACCAATCATCGACGAAGGGGCGTAGACTTCGGCTACTGACTTTGGCTTGCCTCCAGAAAATGTTTTGTGTTCCGAACAGTCGAAAAATCCTTCACTGAAGTCCAAAACGAACAAAAACATCACAAAATGTCGTCATAGTATATACACGAACTCTTCCGCCTTTAGGCGCACATGCCAATACCAGTGTGGGCACAATCGCTATATTACGCAAAACATTTTTTTGACAAAACCATTTAACTTTTTTTTTTTTATATTGTACATGGGCCGTTAAGCGCAGCAGTTATTTTATGTCCACATCTTCATCATGCACAGCGTTTTATCGGCAACAAGTCCATTTGATGGAAACATCTCTGGTAGGAAAATGTGCATATTGTTTTCATGCAGATTTTAGAATATTCGCATGAAAATCTGTTGCCAATTGGATGGAAACCTAGCTATTGACACACATAAGAGCTCACTGGAGATCAATGGGAAAGTGAGGCTATAGCTAGGTTTCCATCCAATTGGTGACAGATTTTCATGTGAATACTATAGAATACACATAAAGAAAATATAGCATTTTCCCACTAGTGGTGTGTTTCCACCAAATGGACTAATACAAATCAGTGCTTGATGATGTAGTGCTAACAAAATGTACTTTTTCGCTTAAGTTTTCATGTACCTAATAAAAATCTAAAGTTCAATATGTGTCCATTGCATTTTCAACTCTAACGATAGTTTTGACACAAAACCGGTTGCGATTAATTGCAAATGTGTCGGCAGGTTTTCGCTCCTCCCTTGTACTTGATTGATGACTTAAGGTCAGTAATTAGTAAGGTCAGTAATTTCCTAGCCACCGTGCGTCTACATCTGTATTGCTTGCTGTTTGGGGTTTTAGGCTGGGTTTCTTTATAAGCACTTTGTGACATCTGCTAATGTAAAAAGGGCTTCATAAATACATTTGATTTGATTTGATTTGGAGAACTCCCCTCACCTGGTTGTCTAGGTCTTATTTGAAAGGAAAAAAGGAAAACCCGCAGACACATGGCCCTCCATGGAATGAGTTTGACAACCCTGTTCTACAGTACTAACGCCACGTATGATGAAGGAGCAGTAGCTGTTATGTGAAATCTGACTTCACAATTTAAGACAATGAATAGGCCTACGTTTACATGCACACTAATAATTCGATATTAAACTGATTATGGCGATAGGCAAATTGTGCAATAGTCATGTAAACACCTTACTCTGATTATCTTAATCAGCGTAAGGTCAAAATCGAAGTAAGCATTCGCCAGGACAAGTAAACACCTTTATCGGCGTTCCAGCTGTGTATTTGATCTGTGCATGTGCTTGCACCATCCGAGCGAGCCTCCCTCTTTATCGCGAGTAAAGTGAGTTTGGAACAACTGAATGTATGAGTCTTAGAAGCAGTTTTCACATAAAAACATTATATGTCCGAACTCAGAATCAAATATGCTTCCCAGAAATAACATGGTCGATGTGGTAGAACGTTTATTTTGATTGGCGATTTTCTGCATTTATCAGTGTCATCAGGAAGCCTGATTGTAAAGAAGATTATTAGGGAAATATTTATTCTTGCAATGCATGTAAACGTTTTAATGGAACATTATATTAATCTGACTATCCACAATAATCGTATTATTGTGTGCATGTAACCGTACTCAATGTCACTGTCAATAATCATCCAACAACATTTTTATAAAAGCCAAATCCATATGCAGTGAATGAATAAAACAGACCCTCATTCTAACAGACCCAGTTCTTTTGTGAATAGTGAAAAATGCTCACCTTCTCACTATTTGGCAGAGTTCGTGTCCTTTGAAAGGTGTCCCCTCCATTAATGCTGACCAGCTCCCCATCAGCAGGTGGAAACTGCGTGGGGAAAACTACTACGTCACTCTTCAGCGTGTCAGAGCTAAAACACACGTCATACTGCTGAGTAGATTTGGAGTAAGACCAGCTCCCGTCAGGATGTGTGGTGATCATTGGGGCGCAGTACCTGCTGAAACTGCCGTCTGTCTTGTGGCATTTTACAACTATTAATATGATGAGGCTCAGTAGAAATATCACTGATACTGACACAATTGCGACGAGCAGATACAGATTTAAATCTGAGAAACTCTCCTCCTTTACAGGCAGTTGTCTGAAAGTTGTCTGCATGTCACCTGTACTTTCAACAACCACAACATCAATAGACACAGTCGCAGACAGGGAAGGTTCTCCATTATCAGACACCAGAATGACCAACGGGTGAGTTTTTAAGTCATTGTCACTCATGCGTCTCTTAGTCCTTATTTCTCCGTTGCTGGTTCCAATTCTGAATAGATTGGTCCCCTTTGGTTCAGAGATGTGATAAGAAAGCAGCGCATTATAACCAGAGTCGGCGTCTACAGCCCTGATCTTGGCCACAATGTAGCCCGCTTCAGCAGAATAGGGAATGTTCTCAGAATTAACGGAGCCGTGGTCAGAATAGGGCGGGAGAATCACAGGACTGTTGTCATTCTCATCCAGGATAAAAACGTTGACAGTGACGTTGCTGCTTAGTGGAGGAACACCAGAGTCCGTAGCCTGAACTTGGAACTCAAACGTTTTCAACTCCTCGTAGTTAAAAGATTGCAAGCTGTAAAGTTCACCACTTAAAGAGTTAATATTGACTAAATGAGAACCTACAGCTCCCTTTGAGTGGTTGTCCAAGTCGGAATACTTTACCTGGGCATTTTCATTAGAGTCTGGATCATATGCGGACACAGTGTACATGAGCGTTCCAACGGGTGCATTTTCCTTGACGTACACATTGAGGGTTCTGTCTGCGAAACGTGGTGCATTATCATTTACATCAGAAATATAAACCGTGGTAACGCTGGTGCTAGACAGAGGAGGAGTCCCTTCATCTGTTGCTATGATGGTGACATTGTATTGTGAGGCACTCTCTCTATCCAATGCCCCGTTGAGAACGAGAGAGTAATAATTACGATACGAAGTTTGAAGATTGAAAGGGGATTCGCCGACTAAGCTACAGTTTACCTTCCCATTGTTTCCTCCATCTTTATCTATTACAGTAACGAGTGCTATAACAGTGCCAGTTTTAACATCTTCCCTCATCTTGGGCAACAATGACGTGACACTTATCTCTGGCACGTTGTCATTAACATCAACTACTTCAACCAACACTTTACAATGAGTGTTGGTTGGAGATTGTCCCTTATCCTGTGCCTCAGCCCTTATTTCATAAAAAGCATTTTCTTCAAAATCTATGACTCCTTTGACGGTGATGTCACCGGAAATGGGATTGATGGCAAATGTATGCAGGTTTTTTTCCTGACCATGTAGGCTGAATAGATACAACACCTCACCATTTGGACCCTCATCTAAATCAGTCGCATTCAGTGTTAAAATCTTAGTTCCCGGAGCTGCATTTTCATTCACACGTATTTTGTAAAGCGGGCTGCTAAAAACAGGTGTATTGTCATTGTTATCCAACACATTAACTACAATTGCCAATGTCCCGGATCGAACAGGTTTTCCCCCATCAGTTGCAGTCACTAATAGCTTGATAACCGCCTGTCTCTCTCGGTCTAAAGCTTTCTGTAGCACCAACTCAGCAGACACACTCTGCTCTCCACCGCTCTGTACATCCAAAGAAAAGTGCTCATTTGGGTGCAACATAAAGGTTTTTACCCCATTCGATCCAACGTCAGGATCCAATGCACTCATCAACGAGAACCTAGCACCAGGAGGCACCGATTCAGATATATTAAAGACTTGTGCTTTCACAGGGAAAGTGGGCGAATTGTCATTGATGTCCACAACATGTATCTCGACCCGATGCAGGCTCAAAGGATGATTAACAATGGCCTCTAGGTGTAAAGAGCATGAACGAGCATTTGGACAAAGCTCCTCCCGGTCGATTCTCTCGGTCACATACAAGACTCCCGTTTTCAGATTTACATCGAAGTACCTCTTCTTTGATGCAGACACGAGCTGAAACATTCGTGACTCCATATCTTGTACATTCAGATTCAAATCCTTAGCCAAATTGCCAACGAACGTACCCTGGTTTACTTCCTCGGAAATATAATACACAATCTGTTCGGAGGATACTCGCATGCTGAAACACAGGAGTAACAAGTCCAAATAAATCCGCGAGTGGACGTAAAATGTAAAAGTAGCCATTGTCTCCACAAACACGTAGCAATGCAACACTGTAGTCACCCAATTTCAAACCCCTTATTACTAAACATAGCTTCTCAGATTACAGCATTTCATTTCACGGAGCCTGGTCACATGAGATTCTGTGAGAGGCGGAGTCCACTGAGAGGATGGTTTTTATACAGAATTCATGGTCTGTAGTGACACCGTGTGGAAAAATATTCAAAGACTAAATAATGTAGACCTCTGCTGTTTAACGACTAGTAGCCAAAATGATATGCATTGTATATATATATATATATATATATATATATATATATATATATATATATATATATATATTACGTTGACTTAATTGTACATTTGTTGGGATGAAAGCGGAGGCATACAATACATTTTTCGCCAAAGAGTTCTTATAAGCGCGTGCAGAACCAGTTGTTGCTCGGAGTCGCTGTCCAAGGTGCTCATCGGACGCTTGGGGTAACTCCGCATAATAGGGTTATTTCTTCAACTACAATAATCCGAAAACAAATATCCTAAATTATAGATAGTAGAAAATGACTTAAATAAATATAACTTCCTAGTACTGGCAAGTCACATTTCGTTACCTAAAAGGCCAATTTAAGCCTACCATCAAGATCATTTATGTTAGGACTAAACAAGACATAGGGAAATCCGAAACGAAAACACAACGATAACACCAAGTTAAAATCATGGTTTTGAATAGGGGGTCATTAAAGAAAACAACAGCTTACCTTCTCACTCCTAGGAAGCGTTCTTGTCCTTTGAAAAGTGTCCCCTCCATTAATACTGATCAGCTCCCCATCAGCAGGTGGAAACGGCGTGGGGAAAACTACTACGTCACTCTTCAGTGTGTCAGAACTAAAACACACGTCATACTGCTCAGTAGATTTGGAATAAGACCAGCTCCCGTCGGGGTGTGTGGTGATCATTGGGGCGCTGTACCTGCTGAAACTGCCGTCTGTCTTGTGGCATTTTGCAACTATTAAACTGAATAGGCTCAGTAGAAATATCACTGATACTGACACAATGGCAACGAGCAGATACAGATTTAAATCTGAGAAATTCTCCTCCTTAACAGGCAGTTGTCTGAAAGTTGTCGTCATGTCACCTGTACTTTCAACAACCACAACATCAATAGACACAGTCGCAGACAGGGAAGGTTCTCCATTATCAGACACCAGAATGACCAACGGGTGTGTTTTTAAGTCATTGTCACTCATGCGTCTCTTAGTCCTTATTTCTCCGTTGCTGGTTCCAATTCTGAATAGATTGGTCCCCTTTGGTTCAGAGATGTGATAAGAAAGCAGTGCATTATAACCAGAGTCTGCGTCTACAGCCCTGATCTTGGCCACAAAGTAGCCCGCTTCAGCAGAATAGGGAATGTTCTCAGAATTAACGGAACCGTGGTCAGAATAGGGCGGGAGAATCACAGGACTGTTGTCATTCTCATCCAGGATAAAAATGTTGACAGTGACGTTGCTGCTTAGTGGAGGAACACCAGAGTCGGTGGCCTGAATTTGGAACTGAAATATTTTTATCTGCTCGTAGTTGAATGACTGCATGCTGAAAAACTCGCCAGTTAGAGAATTTAAGCTTAGAAATGTTGACAAATGTGAGTTTATTTTGCTTTCTGATAATGTATACGTCACTTGAGAGTTGTCATTGATATCAGGGTCATTTGTTGTTACGCTGCCAAAACTAATCCCCACTGGACTATTCTCCTTTATATGTAAGTTCAATATGGGCTCTGGAAAGAGTGGGGCGTTGTCATTCACATCAGAAATGTGTACAGTAATAACACTAGTACTGGAGAGAGGTGGGGTCCCTTCATCAATGGCTTTAATAGTTACATTATAAAGAGAGACACTCTCTCTGTCTAGAGGCCCGTCTACCACTAAAGAATAATAGTTCTTATAGGAAGACTGTAATTTAAACGGAACGTCTCCGATGATATTAGATTTAATCATTCCATTTTTAGCACCATCTTTGTCAAGCAAAGTTATTGACGCCACAACTGTTCCTTTCTTCGCATCCTCTCTGACGGCGCCAGGAAGCGATGTCACTATTATCTCGGGCGCATTATCATTCAAGTCAAGTATTTCAATTAGGACTTTAGAATGGGCACTCCTTGGTGGATTACCCTTGTCTTTTGCTTGTACACGGATTTCAAATGCTGGAATTTCTTCGTGATCCAAACCCCCTTTAACTGTAATTTCACCCGTGTGTTTGTTGATTTCAAAGACACTATAAATGTCTTTTTCGCCTTTTCCAGTGAATGAGTATTCCAGTTCACCGTTCAGCCCTTCATCTATGTCTGTTGCGTTTAAGGTGAGAATCACAGTTCCAAATGCAGCATTTTCTGTCATTTGCACTTTATATAAAGGCTTGCTGAAAATTGGAGTATTATCATTCACATCTATAACGTTCATTATTATCTGTAAAGTACCGGAGCGTGGAGGTTTTCCTCCATCAACAGCAGTCAGTATCAGCTTTATCACAGACTGTTTCTCTCGGTCTAAAGCTTTCTGTAGCACTAACTCAGCAGACACACTCTCCTCCCCAGCGCCCTGTACATCCAGAGAAAAATGTTCATTTGGAGTCATCTTATATGTTTTCAAAGAGTTACTACCCACATCGGCGTCACTGGCAAACGGTAGAGGAGATCTGTCACCCGGGAAAGCAGATTCAGTCATATTGATAACGTGAATGCGCTCTCGAAATGATGGGGCATTGTCATTTATGTCTAATATGTTCACTTCAATTCGATGAATATGCACAGGATTACTCAATATAGCCTCTACATCTAAGGAGCATTTTACTGAATTCGGACAGAGGGCCTCTCGGTCAATTCTCTCATTAACAAAAATAACACCAGTCTTCACATCGATATCAAAGTACCTCCTTTTGGATCCGGTTACTACCTGAATCTCTCTCGATTCTAGTTCCCGCACGCCTAGATTTAGGTCTTTGGCGATATTTCCAACAAATGTGCCTTCATCCACCTCCTCTGAGACGGAATACATGAACTGTCCTGAACACAATCCCAATGAACAAAGCAACAGAATATATTGTATCCAAACACGTCTTCTGTGGTCACACAGGCCCATCGCTGTACAAGTAAGCGGTTATCACAACGATACTAAAAGGGTAAAATTAACATAATACAAGCTCTGCTATTCCGTGTTAGTACAACCAAAGTGATCCTGGACAAACGACAATTTCCATCTCCTCTCAAAAACACCACCGGTTTTAACTCGATTCCTTTTTTAGCATTCACAAGAGGAGGAGTCCAGCATTATTCCTCCTATAAATAATTTTCATGGTCAACAGCGACATCCTGTGTTTTATGCTCATATACCCACAACACAAATACTATTGACATAGCCGTACGCATGCTGTGCATCTATTACACCACCGTGATTCTTAACAACCCAATTTTGGCCAAAATCAACCTTTTAAAGAGTACTATTTAAAATTAAAGGATGAAACTATCACAAGAAAGCATGTTCAACCTACAAAAAAGGTGTTGGTGATGCGTAATTAAGCATGGGTATCGAAAAAGATTGAGAATTCTGAGACATTGCAAACATGACCACCAAGTAGGCTACATTATGTAGAGCTAGAGACTTGACAGCACATCAACAATATGGAACAAATGGGTTACAAAACCACCCGTGACAGTAATGAGACTGGTGATAACAATTTAACATAAATGTCACGACTTCCTCCGAGGCTGCCTCCCCTCCTTGTTCGGGCAGGCTTCGGAGCTCATCGTCACCGGCTTACTAACCACTGCCGCTCCTATATTCATCATTCCATTTGTCTTGTCTTGTCAATACACACACCTGGTTCTTATCCCCTCGTTAGTCCGTGTATAAGTGTTCCCTCTGCCCCCTTGTCCTTGTGGGTGATTGTTTAATTGTGAGAGTAGTGTAGCTACTCGTACCATTTTGTTGCCAGGGTAGATATTTCCCCTATGCCTATGTATTGTTGGATCTACCGTTACAGTGTATTGCCCGGGATGATAGTTTCCCCTGTGCCTGTTTCGTTTGTCGCTATTCCAGCGCATTTGTGTGTAAAGACGGAATAAACTCTGTATTCGGTGATTACCCTCCTGCGCCTGACTCCTTCCATCACACTCATCACAATAAATGATGTGCAGACATTTCCTTTACCGGTTATTGCTTCTACAATAAACAACCCAAAACTACAATATTTTGACAGGTTCACAAATTAATTTCATAGAGAAGAATAGCCTACGAAACAACGTTGCTGAAGAAAACACGAGTAAGAATGAGGCTGACCCATACAGTGCTTGCAAAGAAGGGCACCTATTGGTAGATGGGTAAACATAAAAAAGAAGACATTGATTATCCCTTTGAGCATGGTGAAGTTATTAATTACACTTTGGATGGTGTATCAATACACCCAGTCACTACAAAGATCCTTCCTAACTCAGTTGCCAGAAAGGAAGGAAACCGCTCAGGGATTTCACCATGAGGCCAATGGTGACATGAAAACAGTTACAGAGTTTAATGGATGTGATAGGAGAAAACTGAGAAAAGTTACTCTACAATACTAACCTAATTGACAGAGTGAAAAGAAGGAAGCCTGTACAGAATAAAACATATTCCAAAACATGCATCCTGTTTGCAACAAGGCACTAAAGTAATATTGCAAAACATGTGGCAAAGCAATTCACTTTTTGTCCTGAATACAAAGTGTATTGGGGCAAATCCAATACAAAACATCACTGAGTACCACTCTCCATATTTTCAAGCATAATGGTGGCTGCATCATGTTATGTGTATGCTTTTAATCGTTAAGGACTGGGGAGTTTATCAGAATAAAAAACAAACAGAAGGGAGCTAAGCACAGGCAAAACCTGGTTCAGTCTGCTTTCCATCTTTCAGCAGGACAATAACCTAAAACACAAAGCCAAATCTACACTGGAGTTGCTTACCAAGAAGACAGCGAATGTTCCTGAGTGTCCGAGTTACAGTTTTGACTTAAATCTACTTGAAAATCTATGGGAAGACCTGAAAATGGTTGTCTAGCAACGATCAACAACTCATTTGACAGAGCTTGAAGAATTTTTGAAAAGAATAATGAGCAAATGTTGCACAATCCAGGTGTGGAAAGCTCTTACGGACTTACCCAGAAAGAGTCACAGATGTAACCACCGCCAAAGGTGGTTCTACAAAGTATTGACTTAAGGTTGTGAAAACTTAAGTAAATTAGATATTTCTGTTATTAATTTTCATAAATTTGCTTTATGGGGTATTGTGTATTTCTATTTATTATGGATCTCCATTAGCTATTCTTCCTGGGGTCCAGCTAAATTAAGGCAGTTTATACAATTTTAAAAACATTAAAATACATTCACATATTTCACAACACACTGTGTGCCCTCAGGCCCCTACTCCACCACTACCACATATCTACAGTACAAAATCCATGTGTACGTGTGTGTATAGTGTGTATGTTATCGTGTGTGTGTGTCACGGTTTCGGCCGAGGCTGCCTCTCTTCCTTGCTCGGGCAGGCTTCGGCGTTCGTCGTCTCCGGAATACTAGCTGCCACCGTTGTATGTTTCTATGTTCGTTTGGTTTTGTCTGGATTATGTACACCTGTTGTCGTTTAGCGTCATTAGTGTCCTATAAGTTCTCGTTGTGTTTGTCAGGTGTTGTGTGTGATTGTTTTCGCTGTCGTGTTGGTGCGCTACTATTTACAGTGTGCTATTGTAGCTTGCCTCCTTTGTGTAGGAGAGTATTTTTCGCACATGTTTAGTGCGCCCTTTTGTTTACGCCTGTGTGCGCATTTTCTCGCCTCCGGGCTGTTGGATCGTGTTTTGAGTGTGCATTACTAAAGTATTTTGGACTTATCTTCTGCGTCCTGCGCCTGATTCCCACACCACACCCACCTACAGCACCCGCTGACAGAATCACACACCATTCAGAATGGAATCAGCAGGAGCCGCAGCAGCACAGGAGACTTTGGAGGATCGGGTCCGGGAGCAGAATGACCAGATCCTTCGGATCGGGACCGCCCTGCAGGATGTTATTAACACACTTCAACGCTGGGAGACCCGAGGGACACCCCCAACTCCACCTCCCCTGCCATCACCATCAGCCAGTCAGCCCATTCCCGCTCCGGAACCCAGGGGAATTCGACTCTCGCTCCCGAGGGCCTACGATGGGACCGCTGCCGGGTGTCAGGGCTTCCTTCTCCAGGTGGAGCTATACCTGGCCACCGTGCACCCGGCGCCCTCGGGACACGAGAGCGTGTCCGCCCTCATCTCCTGCCTTACCGGCAAGGCGTTGGAATGGGCCAACGCCGAGTGGAGGAGGATAGACGCTACCACCATCACATACGCTGAGTTCTCCTGCCGCTTCAGGGCGGTGTTTGACCATCCACCGGAGGGGAAAGCGGCGGGGGAGCGTCTGTTCTGCCTCCGGCAGGGGAGGAGGAGCGCCCAGGAGTTCGCGTTAGAATTCCGTACTCTAGCGGCGGATGCAGGGTGGAATGAGCGGGCCCTCATCGATCACTACCGCTGTAGTCTACGAGAGGACGTCCGTCGGGAGCTGGCCTGTAGGGACACCAGTCTCTCTTTCGACCAGTTAGTCGACATGTCCATCAGGCTGGACACCCTGCTGGCTACCCGCGGACGTTCCGAGGGGGGTCCGTCCATTTCACCCTCCAGCGCCTCCGAGCCGAGCCCTATGGAGCTTGGGGGCGCTGGCGCTAGAGAGAGGAGGGGTCGGAGTACGAGGAGGCCCGTCTCCTGCACCAACTGTGGCCGTGGAGGACACACCGCGGCTAGGTGCTGGGGATGGCCTCCTAGGGGAGAAGACGACAGGCCCCGCACTGGGGAGTCCTTCCAGGTGAGTAGGCGCCCCACTCACCCAGAGCTCTCTGTTGCGCACTTCTGTATACCTGTGCGTTTTCCACAGGTAGCACCTCATTCCCAGCATAAGGCGCTGGTAGATTCAGGCGCGGCTGGGAATTTTGTTGATAGGAAATTTTGTTTAGAATTAGGGATTCCCCTTCTTCCTGTTGACGTCCCATTCCCCGTTCATGCCCTAGATAGCCGTCCGTTGGGATCGGGCTTGATCAGGGAGGTCACGGCGCCACTTAGGATGTGTGCGCAGGGGGGTCATAAGGAGATGATCCAGCTATTTCTGATCGACTCGCCTGCGTATCCGGTGGTGCTGGGCATGCCCTGGTTGAGTATCCATAACCCGTCTATTTCATGGCAGGAGAGGGCTCTGATGGAGTGGTCTGCCCAGTGTGTGGGTCGATGTTTAGGCGTTTCCGTAGGGGCTACCTCGGTGGAGAGTCCAAACCAGGTGCCCGCATTGCACGTTCCCCCTGAGTATGAGGATTTGGCTATTGTGTTCAGTAAGTCGAGGGCGACGCAGTTGCCTCCCCATAGGCAGGGAGATTGTGCGATAGACCTCCAGGCAGGAGCTGCGCTCCCACGGAGCCATGTGTATCCTCTGTCTCAGGAGGAGAAGAGAGCTATGGAGACTTACATAGACGAATCTCTGAGACAAGGATACATACGGCCATCCACTTCCCCTGCGTCCTCGAGTTTCTTTTTTGTGAAGAAAAAGGATGGAGGGTTACGCCCGTGCATTGATTACCGTAGTCTCAATCAGATCACGGTGAAGTACAGTTATCCACTTCCTCTGATTGCGACCATGACGGAGTCATTGCACGGGGCGCGTTTTTTCACTAAATTAGATCTCAGGAGCGCGTACAACTTGGTGCGCATTAGGGAGGGCGATGAATGGAAGACAGCCTTTAGTACCACCTCGGGCCATTACGAGTATCTTGTCATGCCATACCGGTTGATGAACGCTCCTTCAGTTTTCCAATCATTCGTGGATGAGATATTCAGGGACATGCAGGGGCAGGGGGTGGTCGTGTACATAGATGACATTCTCGTGTACTCGTCTACCCGAGTCGAGCATGTGGCTCTGGTGCGCCGAGTGTTGAGGAGGCTGTTGGAGCACGACCTGTATGTCAAGGCAGAGAAGTGTCTGTTTTTCCAGGAGTCGATCTCCTTTTTGGGTTATCAGTTGTCTGCGTCAGGGGTGAAGATG